GATGACGTAAGCACCTTGCCTGCATTTACATCCTCACTCACCACACAGCAGGCACTAACCAATTAGACTCAACTGAATTAAGCAGGAGTCATGGAGGAGACGTCAACCGCTGCCTTTTTTTTTCTTTTTTTAAAAAAAGCTTAGTTATATTTAGCTTCAAATATTCTTTTAACTATTAAAAAAATATTTCACTGCATATGATGTGATGTCATGTGACAGCAGATTGGGCTTGTCAGAGATTGCTGGAATATGCCATTCATTTAAAACCACACCACTTACAGATGATTTTCCCTTCCGATTGATCATTTTAAATAATTTAGAGACCTTTTGATGTCCTGTAGCAGACATTAATATCTGAGAGTTAAATACGGCAGATTCCGCATACTACTCACAGAGGTGGTTCTCATTGCTTTTTATGCATGGGTCTAATTTTTGTGGATATACTAAAAAAGCAATACATTTTCATGAAGTGCCTTTGTTTGTTTGTTTGTTTGTTTTTTTAACACAACCACATCTGCAAGCTCTAATGTCCACATTACATGTTTCTAGCAGCATATGGATTTGTATGCAGGATCTTCTTGTTTGACTGATTATTGTTGTGATATTGGATCAAAATTCCATCAAAACTGAGAAAATACTAGATGTCTATTTGAAACAGGATCCTATATTCTGCCTACTGGAGCTATACAACATCAATTTCAAATGAATTTGAAAACTCAAAGGGACATGTGGCCACCTTCTGCTATTTTTTTCTGCTATCTATCTATCTATCTATCTATCTATCTATCTATCTATCTATCTATCTATCTATCTATCTATCTATCTATCTATCTATCTATCTATCTATCTGATCTAATGTACAGCACTTTGTGTCAGCTGTGGTTGTTTTTAAAGTGCTTTATAAATAATGATGATGATGAAGTAAACATCATAATCAGACACATACACGGTGGAGATACAGACAGAAAATGCAGACAACCTTTTGTTTTTTCATAATGCAACATTTTTATTTAATCAGCCGTTAAAGCTTGTTTTGTTGAGCATGGCATTCAGTTTAATATTGCTAATATTCTGTAAACGGCTTCAATATCCTTTATTTATCGACCACAGGGTCTCAGGAAATTACATTTCTTAAGAACTGCATTTGAGCAGGCCAATTTAGCTTGTGTCTTGCTTTCAGAGGCTCCTCTACGCAATTCAAGACCCTGAGCGTGACTCACGCTCCAGTGAGTATTGTTACACTATCACCATTAGCCAACATTGAAATAAATAAAATAAAATCTGTTTTATTGTTTTCCTCTTTTACACTGTACAAGTAATTATTGGTGAGCAGTTGTTGAACACTATACGAAACACCCACCTGATCTGACAAGAGGCTCCACTTCACCTGTGGTTGTCTGGTCCCTTTATCGCTACAGCTAGCTGCTACTCTGGTGCAACATTGTTTTTGTTTTCATGTAATAACAATGCTTGAAATGAGATGGTTTCAAGTAATAATTCACTGTAATTATTTACTGAGGCCCAAATGAAATGTTCAGAAGTAGGACATCAGTCACTTTCTAAAGCGATTTCTAACGATTTGAAAGTTACTTTCCAAAATGTCCCCTTATTTAACTAACAACATTAAAAACAGCTGCATTTAGGTGCGCCAGCGCTGGGATTGTGGTATTGTTCTTACTAGCATGAATCGTTAGTCATCAGTGGCAGCAAGGCTTCTCCTTCTGATGGAGACAAAGCAGCAGGAGCTTTGAGTTACTCTGGATGAACTCAGATTTAGAGGAGACACAATTCAAGAATAATGCTCAAACTCCTACTCATTAGATCATTCATGGTCCTTTCAGACGTGCTTCGGAAGTTTGTGTAATTACACTGATACGTGAATGATTAACAGCCTTTGGGGGTCATAGAAGAAAAACAAAATGAAGGTTAACAGGGGGTATTAATAGATAACTGACACCCAAAGACCTATTATTTTTCACTGATGTACTGTAACTCCTCTGCAGTTTTGCAGTTCTTCATGGCTGAAACTGCAATTACAGCCTCAAATCTTTTATAAATGATGACAACCATTAATTAACCTGGCCCTATTTATGCATGAATTAGGCAAACACACTAAATGCCTGCTCAGAAGACTCTTTTTAAAGAAAAATAAAAGTCTGCTTGTATTTGTACTCAAAGCAGCACACTGAAAGATGAATTTCACTGTTAATCATCGGGGAAAGAGGGGAATCTAGATTTTATGTTACTGTACTTGTTGTATTTTTCCTTGAACTCCAATTGTGTTCTCTGAGCTTCAGGTTCCCTGTTAAGCTGTCAGATGAGAAAGCATTAAAAAGGTGTCGCTTTACAACATGTTTAACAAAAACACAATGAACACCTGGCCAGGAGGTTAGCTTAGTATGTGTAGCTCTCTGCTGCCCCGCTCCAAGATGGCCAGTAGGTTGTGTATGTGGACACAGCTGGCTGGAGAAGCTGCATCCCTGAGAGGTTGATGCTGCGTGTTCAAGAGGTTGCTGTAATTTTGGTGTCATTACAGTCACATGCTGGCAGGTTATTGTTATTGTTTCTTCCCTCCCTGTTTCTGTCATGGACCTCGTGTCCTCCCATGTCAACCTGCCTGTCTATCTGTCTCTACACTTTTTTGCTCTCTCGTTCCCTCTCCTGTCTGTTTGTTTGGTTGTGTGTGTGTGTGTGTGTGTGTGTGTGTGTGTGTGTGTGTGTTCTCTAAGCTTCAATTTATGATCTTTTTCTCAGCATGAAGCTAAACTGCTGCTCCCTGAATGTCACCTGTCTTTCTTAAATTTCCCATATCTTCATGTCATGGCTTGTCGGCTTTATCCCTCAGTAGTTGGTGCAGCTCTGCTATTGTTCAGTAAGCTTCTTCTTCATTCTTCAAGCATCCTCACTCTCTAGGACTGTGTCCTCTCTCCCAGACATCTCCCACGCCTTCACAGGTTTGTCATGTGGACAAACTGCCTTTCCACTCTGTATCTTTTTCACATCTGCCCTCACTTCTTTATAATTCCTCTGCCCTTCCTGATTCACTAACTGTCCTCCATCCATAACCCTATTTTTGCACATTTTCTTCATTCAGCTCCACAAAGTAGTCCCTTCATCTTCTCAGCACACTCTCTTCACTTGATGATACATCACCATCTGTATAACCTGCTGCACATCCTTTCCAGCACAGTCCCGTTGCCTTGCCAATCAAATCTTTTTCTCAACCCCTTTTCTCCTGCCTTAGTGTCCAGCCTCACATACAAATCACTATACGACTTTTCCTTTGCTTTTACCACCTCTCTCCCTGTCATTTGCATGGTCTCTCAGTACTCCCGCCTACTTTCTTCATCTCTCTAAAGTATTCATACTGCATTTCACGGAGACATTTGGTGGTGGTCTCTGGTACACCCTTAGACTCCTCAGGAGAGTGAAAGCTACAACTGAAGCCTTTCCAAAATGAGCAATGCCAGTTTTCTGAAGAAGACTAGAGAATAGTTTTTGATTCATTTCGATTGTAACAACAAATCCAGAGGGATTCAGAGTAATCTCAATGAGGCCATTTCTGTTCATTCTGACTATTTATCAGAAACTGTGGAAACAACAATTTATAGTGTGTATGTTGCTCCCAGATATGAGGTGAATCATACTCCCCCCCCTCCCCTCCCTTAGAGTGACAAGCCTCCTGTGTGCCTCTCTATTTCTCCAGGTACGTGTTAGCATTTTTCAAGCCTGGCATGGTTGGGGTGCCTGGGGTTCAGACAATAGCACCTGCATCTGGCAGTGCATGCTGGGCTAGTAGTGTGTGCATAATGTAGATTTGTAATTTGTCCATTTGTACTGGGCAGCAGTCCTGCTGGCATGATCAGTGGTGTGTTTTCTTTGGAGGATTCATTAGCTTTGCAATTTGTACAGTGTTATCACTGGTTGTCACACTGCTTGCATTAGGATTTAACATTAAAAAAGGTTTTCATATCAAATATGACGTTTTAAGACCCAGTTTTACATTTGAAAATAAACCTTTGGAAAACCAGATTGTAGCTAAGTGAGAGGGAAAATCTGTAAATTATTTCCAGATTCATCCTTTCTGATGATAATTTATTTTTCTGGTGTGGAATAAAAGGGATTTTGACCATAGACGGTCCTCGGAGAGAACACATGGTTAAGAAATATAACATCAATATCTTTAGAAACGGCTTCTTTGATATTTGTAGGTTTTTTTTTTTTTTTAAATAGACAGCTTTCTCAATTTAACAGTGATATTCTTGATGTTTCCTGTCTGCCTCTGTAAAGGTATTTTAAAATGCTATCTTATTGTAACTCCATGTGGAGCACGGTGAAATCGGTTGGAGGCTGTTTTTGGCAATTGTTACTAAAAGATTTAGGGATAACGTTGCTAGGAGACCCTTACATCAGCTATTTATCCCAAAGTCATGTAGAAACCCACACACAAACACACTGACACGGATTCAGTGTGTGTGTGCGTGTATCTCCTCTTCCCACTGCGTCTGTGCGTTCTTGCTCATACTATAAAGCTGCAAGCACCTCGTTCACTCTGCTCGCTGCCGTCTCCGCGAAGCATGATTTCTATTCAACTCAGCTCTGCTTAGAGGATGCACAGCAGATGAGGTTTTTTTTGTTCCCAGTTCTTTTTATTAAAAAACAAACCATTTTGTCAGACACAGTTTTGTCAGGGTTAGAGAGCAAATATCAACTCATTTACTAGCCTGTATTTATCTTTTAGTCAAGTTACTATCCTTTCCTCTAAAGGAAAATCCCTGGATGGAAGGTTAGGTGATGGATTGAATTGTGGACCTTACTACAAAGAAGTGGAACAGTGGGGACAAATCAGCTGAAAACCAACTCAAAGAAAAGGAGAGGGAGTTGCAAGTACACTGGATTTGCTTCTGAGTATTTGATGACCGAGCTTGGAGAAGACATCTGTGTGCCTGTCAGCATAACCTCGGTTGTTAATAATTTCCCAGGGCTATTGAAATGGGCGCTTAGCTCTCGAGTCAGAAAAACAGCAAGCTTTAAAGCTCAACGGTGTTGGCAGTGGCAGTTTTCATCCAACAAGCTTCAAAGAAAAGAAGCCCTTTATCCACTCCTGCTCACCTCCTATTTTTTTATGACCTGTTGACATAATTTCTCTATCCTACTTTGAGTCCGACACTTGAGCAGCTTAAGAAGTATTTTTCCATCTTGCCTGACCCCCTTTTCTCCTGAATTGCATCCCTCCACCTTTTAATTTACCTTGCTACCCTTTCACTTTGATTAAACTGCTTGCTATTCACTTCTATTTTGCCTCATCTCGTATCTGGTGTTTTTCCTACAATCTGCCACCCCATATACCTTTCACTGCTCAACTTTTCTCTCATGCGGTCTTCCTGCCAGACTTTTCCCCTCCTTATTATTTGCTTTTCTCTCATTTTCTTTGCCTGAGGGCAGAGAGGACCGCATACTGCACACTCTCTCTCTTCAAATTGGTTCTAGACCTCATACAACCTGCTCACTTACCCGCTCCCGTCCGTCAATTATTCCCCCTCTCCTGTCACGATGTACTCCTCCGAGGAGCTGTGGAACTCCACCGAGCAGGTCTGGATCAATGGATCCGGAACAAACTTCTCTCTAGGAAGACACGAGGATGAGGAGGAGGAGGAAGGAGACAAGCATCCTTTCTTCACGGATGCCTGGCTGGTCCCTCTGTTCTTCTCTCTCATCATGCTGGTCGGACTGGTGGGCAACTCTCTGGTCATTTATGTCATTTCAAAACACAGACAGATGAGGACGGCAACCAACTTCTACATAGGTAAGCTTCCATGTGCAAGTTTGTATTTATGATTCTTGGTAAATGGACAAAGACTAGAAGAAGATAATGATGCATAGGAGATGTGACTCATATGGACAGGAGGGAGATAAACATCAGCTATGTTATTAAACATCTCTTTCGTCTATCCTGTAAAATTTCATCACATGCTCAAGTGGGGATCACGAGAAAGCCAAGTGCAAATTTCCCTGAATATGCATTTGACAGTTTGAGTGCACAGCTCATTGGAAAAATGTCTGTGCTGATTAAAGATTTCACTTTAATTATTAACGACAATGCCAGGTGCTCAAACGTGTCATTTAACTTAATGCAGATGTCTTTTTTGAAACAAGAGAAAATTAAACATTTTTTAAAAATAATTATCTGCTGTTTTGGGACCAGTGCAACATGGAATCTAAAATTTATCTGCACCAGAAAAATATTTTTCTCACTCAGTGGTTCATGGTTTGAAATATGCATCAGTTATTTGTCGCTATGTGCAGAGGTTATTTGCAAATAAAGCTCCAAGGATTCATGATATTAAATTCATCAATACAAAAGAGTAAATCATGAATTCCATTTTTATTTCAGCGTGTTTCATTTAACAGCAAAAATATCTATCCTGAAGAGACATCAACTTAAAACTGAAATCTACCTTTAAATGCAAATTTGAAATGTAAAAAATGCTGGCAGAAGGAGGTAGGTGTGTTTCCATCTACATTTAGCCAAACTCTATGAAGGACAAGGTCATGGCAACAGGTAGTATTCAGCGGATGCTGCACTCCACAAAAAAGGGCTGGGGGTCTGGGAGGGAAACAAGGCGAATGTTATTAAAACATTCAAATTAAAGAGATGCTGAATCCTCTGTGCCAAAAGTCTGAAACAAAAGAAAGTCAGCAGCAAATCTGGAAAGTTGGAAAAAGTCAAGTGCGATCATTAAATGTAAAGTACACTCTCCTTTCAACAAGAGACACAACAGAACCACTCACTGATATAACACTGCCAAGCTGGTCCAGCACTGGGCTAGCCAAGTCCTCTCTTCAGTGCAGTAGCCAGTGCTGACTGCCAAGTGGAGACAGCTGTACACTGGCTCCACAGGACACAAGGGATTGTATCTGAGTCAGGGAGAGAGCAGGGGACACAATCACACAACAAAACCTTCCTCTGTCCTCCTGCCTGTGACCCGGAAGTCAAACACAAAACGCTGAATGATGCTTTAAGTCCTTAAAAAAACAAATACAGGGGACAAAGGAGAGAGGAGGCATTGTTTTTGTTGTTTAATATAATCAAACCCTTCCTGTGTGAGTGCGATTCAAAAGTTATATCTTGTTACTCTGTGCCAGATGTCTTATTTAGTTGAGGTTGCTTGAACGTGATCGCTCCGAGGCCTGTTTACTCACCTTCTCCACTCTCAGCTCTGATGGGAGGGACTACCGCCCAAGGAGAGGAGTTGAGGACGTGCAGTTTGAGAAATGGGACACTACCTCAGTGAATATGGCTGAGAAGAAAGACTTGGATGCTTAAATGTCCCAGACAGCAATACCCCTACATGACCAGCAAGAAAATCATGTCAGGGCAAGATTTCAAAGATAACCACATATGCATGGTTTTCTGCTTGAGTCATACATCAGATTAAGTCTGTCCATAAGGATGTTTAATTAAACAATGCTGCTGATGTTTTTATCTGCTTCAATACCTCTGCTCTTTTGTGAAGTTAACCTTTTATTTGAATCACATTCTTCACAAGTACAGTCTGCGACTTGACTGGTGAAATTTCTTTTTGCTGGTTTGTCAACTCAGCCAAGCAGGCATTTGCACTTACACTAAAGCCAGCATTAACTGTACTTATGAAAACAAATGAGACAAACACACTTTAATGGAAGGTGCAGGTGTTCAGACATGTCCTGAGTCCCAACTGAGTGCAGATTATTTCTAAGACCATCCACATTATGAGAAAAAAATCTAATTAAAGTGGTATAATAATGATCATGTTGGAAGTGCTTTGGGATCCTCGTTGCATACAGGTTGGAATTATTAATTTCTGCAAGCAAGCAGTTTTCATGGTTCAGTAGACCCCGTAGCTTAAAATCTGCTTCCCTTTTCTGTGTGTGTTTGCAAAAGGTTTTCTTCTTAGCAGATAATGCTCAGGGGATTCATATGAAAGGAATCAAAGAAAAAAGGATTTCTTACTACGTGTTTGCTGTCTCCAGTGTAGTCAGAGCTTCGGTGGACATTTAAACCATATGATTTATGTACTGCTAATTGTTTAATTGTGGTTGGTCACAATTGTAACAGTTAACTTTGCCTGAGACAGCTCGGAAGTGACATGACAAGACGAGTGAGATGGAGGAAAAAGTCAGAATATAAGTACTTGTTTTGCAAAAATATGAATTAATCATGAAGCAGACAAAGTCAGTGGCTTTCGATATCATTAGTGGTGAGGGTGTGTGAGTGGGTAAGTGCTTGGTACTGTGTGGCGAATGAAACAAATCATACAGAAATGCCTGTGAAAGAAAAGCTCCACTGGGACTGAGGAAGTGTGGAGCTTTACAGCTAGGAGACACAAATGATGCACTCTAAGTGGACGAGGCAGACAGGCAAGCAGATTATCCCAAAGGACATGGGTGTAAATATTTCATTTTAAATGTCACATAAAGTAAGATAAGAAGGGGGGAAATAACTCAGCCCCTGCCGAAGGTGTAACTTTAAAATGAACCATCTTCAATTTTATGGTAGCTTCATTTTCAAAAGACACAGAATATCAACCAAAAGTCAAGAAAAACACACATTACATAAAAGTTATGCATTCATTTTCATGCCATTTAGTGAAATAAGTATCTGATCCCCAAGAAGAACATGATTTAGTACTCGGTGGGAAACCCTCGTTGACAACCACAGCACGTTTCTTGTAGTTGGTCACCAGGTTTGCACACATCTCAGGAGGGAGTTTGGTCCACTCCACTTTACAAAAACTCTCTAAATCCTTTTACAGTGAGGGGACACTAATGATATGCTCCTTTGTAGACGAGCCAGACAGGCACAATGGACACATGCATAAATATTTTACATGGAGAGTTGCACAGATTTTCAATGTCTGAAATAAAGTAACATAAATCAGTGTCCAATCATGCTCCGATCTGCTACCTCGTCTGGTCCTTAAAGCACCGAGACTTGCAACCTGTGTGATTATTCTTTTACTGTTTAAGTCAGCACGCCGGCTAGAGCTGTGATGTCTACTGTCGCTTGAAGAGAAATGCAAAGGTGATTGATTTACTGGATGAGCACACAGAACAAACAAACAAACTATAATTTCAAAAATGGCTTGTCACAGGCATTCACGGAAATGAGCTCATTTGTTGCGTAAATGTTGCAGTTCGGTGATTTACTGCAGAAATGATTTGCGTCTCTCTTTGCACAGTGCATTGTGGATATGACGAGAATTTCATGTTGGATAATATACCTCAAAACCGCAGCATGGAAACAGCTTAATATTCAGCAACATTTCATTAGGGCCTGCACCATCTGCCTATCCTCTTGACATAATGGTTCAGTAGCTACACTGTGATTAGATCAACTAAAACAAAAGGAAGTAGTGTGTGGCATATTGGAATGATGAATAAATGAAGACTACACCAGAAGCAGGCTATAAAGGTTTATGCTCCAACTTCTGCTTGGTGTGTGTGTGTGTAGGTGTACTGTATGACCTGCCGGCAGTCAAGTAACAGCTTGAGTCTTGATTTTCTAAAGGCATCATCATGTAAATACATTTTCCTTCTGAAGCAGACTATCAGTACCTGAAAAAATGTGCCAGTTTTATATTTCTTACCTTTAAATTGGAAGCTTTATGCATTTTCCTGTTTCTGGCGTGTGTTTTAAGGTCAGTGCATATGTTTGTTATATGAGCCAGAAATTCTGACTTATTTCAGAAAGTCAATAAATTTGCGTGCTGAATCGCGGTGCAACATAAAGATTATTTTGGATTATGAAAACTTGCTAAGCTGATCTAGTGTTCAAGAATGAACATTTTTTAACGACTCAATACAGCAAAACCCCAAAGAGGACACTAAACACTTCACTCAAAGCACTACAACCTTTATAATAGCTGTATTTTCATGCGGTCATGTGAAAAAGAAAGTTTTCACTGGAGTCTGTGGAGTCCTGTGAAAAACTAAACACACCCCATATTTGTAACCTGTGGAACCACCTTTAGTAGCAATAAATTGAAGTATTAATTTTCTTTATAAATCTCTCACATGATTGTGGAGGAATTTTAGCTCACTCATGTTTGCAGCGTTACTTCAATTCATTGAGGTTTGCATGTATTTATTTATGCACAGCTCTCTTAAAGCCCCTCCACCGCATTTCATGATTTCATGGTGGTGGATCCTGTTGCATGACCAAATTTTAGCCAAGCTTTAGCTGTCAGACAGTTGGCTTTGTGTTTGACTCTAGAATACTTTGGCATACAGAGGAGTTCATGACTGACTCAATGACTGCAAGGTACCCAGGTCCCGCAGCTGCAAAACAAGCCCATATAATCACCATCCTTCATAATTGGAATAAGGTATTTGTGCTGATGCATGAAGATGTGGCCCTGTGCATCTTTGGTGTTGTCTGTCCAAAGGATGTTATTCCAGAAGTCTTGTAGTTTCTTCAGATACTTTTTGTAGAGAAGATGCTTTCATCTGGCAGTCCTTCAAAACAACTCGAATCTAGGCAGTATTTTTCTAATTGTATTGTCATGGACTTTAACATTTAAAATGCTAACTGAGTTCAAGATGTAGTTCTTGGGTTTTCTTATGCAATCTGACCTTGGGGTGAGTTTGCTGTGGTGCCCACTCCTGGCAACACAGCCTGACGCTTCAGATTGGCACACAGCTTTTATAGAGGTTGTCACACGTCCTGATGATCACTTAATCAAGTGAGTGTTGAATAGCAGCACCTGGTTGCTGCTTATCCTCTTAATTCCTATGCAAGCAGTAAGGATGTACTTAGTTTTATCAGGATGTTTACAGGACTATGAAAACTTTTCCTTTTTGGATGGCCATGACTGTACACGCCTGCGAGTCTGCAAACTTGCATTAGATTGCACTAAACTTTACAACGCTGCTGTTAGTTCCTAGTAGTTGATGTTACTGCAAACAGGACTGCGTGCCTCCATATCCATTTTCCCACAGATGGTTTAAAAAGACTTGTTATGCAAAAGAAGAAAGGTGGGATGATAGTTAGAAGTCCTTCTGCTTTTTCCAGGATTGTTGAAGAATCCATGCCACTGGCTTCAAGCGTTTTCAGTTAAACACTGTTCTGCAGACTGTACAACATTCATCAAATACAGCGTTATCTTTTCTCCCTGTGCAGCAAACCTGGCCGCCACTGACATCATCTTCTTGGTGTGCTGCGTCCCCTTCACGGCCACCCTTTACCCCCTCCCTGGATGGATCTTTGGCAACTTCATGTGCAAATTTGTCGCCTTTCTGCAACAGGTAATATCTTTTGAACCACTTCAACTATTCTGTTTCTCAGCTCAGAAATGTGCTTTCATGTGAATATTATATTTTCAACACTTCCCTTAAAATGATCTTGGATTCTTTAACTTTCTCACAGTAACAGCATTCAGGGCTTTAACACTCCCACTCCCATGAGAACAGTGAGCCAGCTCGGCGTTGTCACAGAAAAATCAATCTATATAATCCTGTGAAGGTGGTCACAGTTCATCCTCATAAAATTACAGTTCTCAAGAAAGCTAATCCAAAATAAGCCATTGTTGAATTTAGAGTTTCTTCAAAAATGACAATGAAAGTAGGTCGAACTCTACAGCTTTAAAAGTCAAACGTGTCAAGATGTGTCATACACAGCTGACAGAGAATAATAACAGTAATCAGCATCAGTCACAAGAAGGAGGAGACACAAAAGAGAATAACAGAATCTTCTGTTAAGGAGATGAAGATGTTACGTGATACGATGCTTCCATAGACCCAGACATTAATCAAGATTTAAAGGGGCTACTGAATACCGTGTGCCAATGAAAAAACATTATTTTCGTGGGAACCATTTATAATATCTAATCCAGGAATTCAAAACAGATTTCAGCCACTTAAATCAATCATGCCTCTCAATTGTTTTGTTTGATTAGTGAGAGGCCAAAAAAAGTATAACAAATATTCAGAGTGTCATAATAAAATAGGTTTGCACAGCTGCTGTTGGTTGGAATTATCAAAGGCACTGACTGACGGTGAGGAGCTGCAAACTGGGTAAAAAGCCATTTTCACCTTTCATGCATGGAACAAACCACAACTAAAAGCCTGTGCAGCAGACAAACCACCTAACAAAATAAAAAGGAAAACGACCTGTAGACAGTACGACAAAAGCTGCCTGTCATGGCTTCAGCTGCACTATAAATTGTTGCTCTAAATTTGGAAATGTGGATGGAATAGCACAACAATCCTTAACTTGGAAGTGTCATCTGCAAGATTTTGAACTTATCTGTTATTGGCACATAGTCACTGATGGAAACTGTGTGAAAACAACCTGTGAATTCAGTGTTGGAGAATATTACTAAACTATCCTGCCACTTAGTAGCAGTGCAAATAGCTACAAACACCATTATCATATCAAGTGTCTAGTTATGCACTCACCAGACAGAAATACTTTTTGTTTGGAGTCATATTTCCATGCAGTTGATAATTGTTCTCTTTTAATTCTAGTTTACTCAAAACCCTCCCCCGAGGAAAATATCTAACTCGATATACTGACACATGATACATCGAAGCAGGAAGAATGTTAGAGGCAGGAAAAATGGGAATGAGGATTTTAAACATTGAGTCTGACAAGGGCGAAATTATGATGGCAGGACGTCAGAGCATCTTCAAAAACTGCAGCTGTTGTGGGGTGTTCTTGATCTGCAGAGGTCAACATCTATCAAATGTGGTAAAGGAAGGAGCCATGGTGAACCAGTGACAGGGCAGCAAAAACTCACTGATGCACGTGGGGAGAGAAGGCTGACCCGTGTGGTCCGATCGAACAGATGCTACTGCAGCTCAGATGGCTGTAAAAGATGATGCTGGCTCTGATAGAACAATGTCAGTGCCTTGCAGTTGATTGTGTATGGAGCTCAGCCAAAGACCAGTCAGGGTGCCCAAACGGATCACCATCCACTGCCAAAAGTGCCAACAATGAGCACGTGAGCATCAGAACTGGACCACGAAGCAATGGAAGAAGGTAGCCCGGTCTGATGAATCACATTTTGTTTTACCTCACGTGGATGGCCGGCTGCACATCCATCAGGGGAACACCTGACACCAGGATGCACTATGAGAAGCAGCCAGTGGAGGCGGTGCGATGCTTTATGTAATGATCTACTGGAAACTTTGGGTTCTGCCATCTATGTGGATGTTACTTTGATATGTACCACCTGGACAAACAAATCTGATCCGTGGAGCCCCCACCTCTCAGCTTACAGGACTTAAAGGATCTGTTAGTAACATCTTGATCCCAGATACCACAGCGCACCTTCAGGGCTCTATTGGAATCCCTGCTTTGATTAGCCAAGGCTATTTTGGCAGGTAATCATAATGTTGTGCCTGATCGGTGTATATCCAGCACAAATCAACAAACTGAGAGATGTAGGAAAGTAGGGTTAGAATAAAAGTCGAGTTAAATGAAGTGAATCAGGTCCACAGGGCTTATATTGAAGAGCTACAGGGGATAGGATCTAAAAACAGCTGGAGCACAGTGAGTGATGCAGAGCTACACAAAGAGATGACTCAAGAGGAATAATGGCCAATTTTAGATAATGTTTCTCTTTTTTTGTGGAACTTTTTGAATGCGCCAATTACGTCCATGTTTTTTTCTTTCCTTGTACAAGTGCATCACGAGGGGAAGCTGTCCAAGGTATTTTAGCATCGCCCGGCTTATTCACGGAGAAAAGATGTTAAAAACAACATTAAATGCATAGTGTCTGACAACGAGCAGACGCTTTAATTAAACTCAGCCTTGCACTAATAACCAGTTCTCTGACTACTCTAATGACAAAGTCAACCGCGAACCAGATACAGTCACTCAGAGAGACCCACAGCTCCTGTTCAGTTAATAAGCACTTTGTCATTACAAGCAAAATCACTTTCCCCAACATTTTAATCTTTAATATTAGAGGCTGATAAAGTATGCAGCAAATGTATTTAGCTTTCTATTTCGTGCGGCAATTTGATTAAATTTCATCTCATTCGACATGCAGGGGATATTCTGTCAAACTTAAAAAAAAGAAACACTTTAAAATTTTTAGATGTCAGCCTCAAAAAAAAAACCTCAAGAAAAACATAGGCATGATTTGATTAATGGATGTGAGCAATCAGACTACGTGGTCTGTGAGCGTGTCTTGATGACTAAGACCAAGCTTTTTATTCTGAAAGCAGAAAGCGTCTGTCAAACAAGACTGTCTGTCTCGTTTTCCTCTCTTATCAGACAACCATTTTCTCATCTCAAACCTTCAAGTCAGTTTCTATTATGCTAGCCTACCATCATTTATTATTGCATACAAGGGAGAAAGGTAATTAGGTGACGAGATAAGAGAAGTGGCCACTCTCTTTGCTTTAATCTCTCAAATTTCTCCAAGAAATAAGAGCTGTTAGTGTTATTAGTGTCTTAAAATTTCCACAGTTTAATGAAAAAAACAGTTGATGGGTAACAGTGGGTGATGCATTCCTGCTGTGTTTACATCCAGCCTCTGTTAAAGGATCGTGATGACAGATAGTACAGTTATATTGTAGAATAGCAGGGAATGTCTAGGGGCTTTATAGGATTACTGGTCAATACCAATTCCATCCAACCGGCCATCCATTTTCTTTCGCTTATCCAATTCAGGAGCCTGGAGCTGATCCCAGCTGCCATAAGGTGATAGGCAGCGTACACACTGGACAGGCCACCAGTCTCACAAAGGGCTAAGATGGAGTTACAGACAACCATTCACACTCACATTCACCAATTTCAAACCACAAATTAGATGTGTTATTGCCCACTTAGGAGAAAGTTTGTGTAAAAATACCATCACACTTCATCAAAGGTTCCTGCCCTGTTGTGCTGTTTGAAACTAAATTAAGGAAGCAAGATTACATTGCTAGGGTGGGATACTGCTCCTTCATCTTTCCAGTCTAATTAGCAGATGTATTTTCATGTCCAGTTATTACCAGGCTGAAGATTAGTCTGAGAGGAGCATTGATTACGTTAAATCAAAGATCTCTGCAGGAAACTTTTAGCTCTTCACAGACTTTAGTCAACATTTAATCTGCCTGTTATTTTCTTGAATCATGTATTAATGAAAGTTTTCAAACCTTTTAAAGTCCAAGCTGTATGTGATCTTCAGAAGTTTTATGCGTTTTAAATCTGGAGGAGATTAAAAAAATACTGAAAACTGCTGTTGGGAGGTACAGCGGTGCAGTGGTTAGCACTTGGGTTCAAACCTCCTTGTTGGCTGGGCGTTTCTCTGTGGGATTCCCCATTTGTCTGCAGGGGTTTCCCTCTGGGTAAGCTGGTTTCCTCCCACAGCCCAAAGGCATGCACATTAACTTCTGGGTGTTTCTAAACTGACTGAGGTGTGGATATGAGAGTGTGTGCTTGAGAACCCTGAGATGAACTGGTGAGCTCTCAAGGGCGTGGAACTGCCTCTTGGTCTATTTCTATTTTGCACAGGACCCAGCTGATGGACAGATGGATATTTGAGAAGCTAAAATCACAAAATGGACTGGTATTGATGATTTTTTTCAGATGAATAAAAGTAAACTGTCCCTTTAAATGTATCTTATATATAAATATTAGACTGCAGATCTCAAATACTTTAAGACACTGATGTAAACAGCTTTATCTGAAGCTTATGGCTGAATGTTAGGAGAATATCCCCCGTGTAGCCCTATGATTTTAATTACCATGTTTAAACTGAATAAATAAGATTAGGAAGCTTAAAGAAAACAGATTCTTATTATTTATCCCTCCCTCATTTTCTTCCGTCATTAAAAAGAAATAAAACTACAGTAGAATAGAAATTATGAGCTACTAATATACCAGACATCTTAAAAAACAAAACATAGGAAATCCATTTCCTCAGCCGCCTCAACACTGAACTTATGATGACCCCTTTCTCTCTCTCTCTCACCATATCTTTTGAAATCCTGTGGTCCTGGTGCACAAAACCTCTGGAGGGTAATGTGAGCTGGCTTCGTAGTCGCAGATGAGAGGTGGCGAGAGAAACAGGCAGACACATAGACAAAAGAGGGACAAAATTAGATCCTATTTGTAAAAGAGCATAGAGGGAACTTCATACCCCTCATTTTTCACCCTGCTCCACATATTTCAAAACAAAAATGGATTAGTTTGCCTACATACAACCCACTAAGACCCACAGAGGTGATGTATCCAAAAGGAACAAAGATGGTAGAAAGTGTTAGGCTTGCTTTCTGTGTCATCCTGCTCCATTGAACATCAATGCACAGTTGCATATGAAACAAGAAAAGCATCTGTTTGAGGCTCTTTTTTTTTTTTTACTCTAGAACACCACTATAAGTCCTAGTGGAAATATTGATTCGATTCAATTCACTTCATTTCTCAATGTGCTTTATGTTGCAAGAACGTCAATTACACAGAGAACCTCCCCCAAAGAAATCAAATACAAATGCCCCCCTGTGAGCAAGCACTTGGTAACAGTGGGAAGGAAAAACTCCCTTTTAACAGGAAGAAGCCTACGACGGGACCAGGCTCAGGGAGGTGCAGCCATCTGCTGCAACTGGTTGTTAGTGAGGGGAGGAAGACAGGATAATAAGCACACTGAGGATGAGAGCCAGAGGTTAATAATAAGTAATGATTAAATGCAGTCATTTAAAATTTTGTGTAAGATGGAAAATTTGTCAAACTTTAATGTACGAGTAAAATTCTATATTTGGTCTTCAATTACAATTCTTCTGATTAGCTCAAGTTTAATTGAATCAAGCATCATTGAACTCCATTAAAAATGAAGTTGGATGATTGCTTCATATGCTAATGAAAAACACTCATCACAAATGCTGCCACCTCTGCACTTCCTCTGTACGCGTCCTCTCCGGTTCTATCCCTCGCTCTTTACCATTCTGAATGATCTGCAGCTTAAAAGCATGCAAGCCCATTAGTAAAAACTGGAGAGGGAGTCTGAAATAAAGGACAAAAAAGCTGCTTGAACGTCTGCTTTCTAGAGAGCAGCGATTAAAATATAAAGCAAAAAAAACAACAACAAAAAACAAGTTTGCAAGACACTATAAGAAAAGCGCTTCCTCTAATAGCTTGTCAGCAAACTGTAAGAGCTCTTGTAAGAAACACATTTGTGTCAAAGTTAGTTAGGTGCAGGACTCAAAACTGGTGAAAAGTGAAAGGGGTTTATTTACAGATGCACACCAGGTGAAATATATACAGCAACTGTCACGGTCCGCTGTGGCAGACCGTGTGGAGAGTGCGTGGAGGACTCAGGTGCGGACACGAGTGACACGGGAGTAAACTTTAAACAAAAGCGAGCCTTTTATTGTGGCTGGTAACGCAAGAGAAACAAACAAGAATAAGGGCAGCTCAAAAGCAATAACTAAACAGAAACCTAAACTGGGAATGAACTAAGGTAAGGCTATGAATACAACAGACCGGGCATGGAAACATGGAGGGTGGGAACACAGACGACGCGACACAGACTGTATGAAACACAGAGACTAAATACACATGAGGGATGATCAGGGGAAGTGGATGCACACGGGGAACACAGGTGACACTGATAATCATAACAAGACACGGCAGGAGTGAACGTAACACTGATGGGAGATGGGCAAAGTAAAGCAGGAAGTACACAGAGGTTCAAACAGGAGGAGAGAGAGCACGGGGAGAACGCAGACATAACGGGCTGGGGAAAACATAGAATAAAGCACAAAGAGAGACGAGGGCTCATAAATACACAGAGGGGCACACAGGGGATAAGAGTCACGAAGGGAAAACACATAAGGAACAACGTAACAGATCAACCCAGGAAGCATGGCCTAAATAAAGAACAAAATACAAAAATACATGAAAACTAAGAATACTGGGCCCACATGGCCCAGGACCATGACAGCAACAGGGGAAGGCGGCTCCAGGGAATCTAAGGGGAGAATGTCCAGGGCAGGGAAACCTTCACACTCCTCTTCACACAGTCCATGAGTCACAAAACCTCCAAATCCAATCCAAGAAAGTTCACTCACACTCACTCACACCCACTCAGGGTCCACAGGGCAGGAGAAGCAGGTAGGGATAGGGAAGACTGCACAAAAAGAACAGATTAGGGAGAAGCACTAGGAAACACAAGGAACTCACTAGCCAAGCAGGGTCTACACTGACACAAGTTAGCACAACGATTCAGCAAGGAAGCAGACTCCACTGAGGGTAATAATCTGTGATGATTGGCAGGTGAGGGATCACAGCAGATGGGTGACAGGTGAGTAGAGCTGAGTAGGCGAGGACAGAGGTGGGGAGCATAGTCTGACTCCACCCTGGCGAGAAAGAGTGAAACAGCAAAAAACAACAACAACATCCTAGAGGTCCTTGAGGCCGTGGCAATGTGTATGTTTGACTGTTTAAAATGAATATATTTCAGGTGCGTTGGCATTTTAATGTCTCTGTTTGGTTTATGGATCCAGTGTTAAGCCAATTTCTTCTCCTCCTATTCAGTTTGACCAACCAGACCATGGCATCTTTCTTTGAGACACCACCACTGCCTAACTTACATCAAGGGATACTCTTTTGGAACACGCTCTACATATTTCTGCAACTTTTCCACAAATGTGCAATATGAAATAATGCCAAACATGATCATTTCTTTTAATTTTAAGCTAGTTTTAAATTTGAGTCTTTCCACTGAACACATAGCTGTGTTATGGATTTATCTGTGGTGCTTGTGGGGATATCTTCTATGAAAGTAGACTAGAAAGATTACATTTGAATTTATTTTTCGGTCATTTATCCCAGTTTTGTTTGCTAGTCTGTTTTCCCTTTGTATGCTTACTCACTATTTAGTTGTTTTTCTTCTTTCTTGTGGGTGATGTAACATTATAAAGCACAGATGGAGCAGAATGAGGACTCAGCTGTCTAAAGCTATTATTTTTGTTAGCCAAGCTAAATAGACTTTATTTAATATATTTCTGCTTTTCAATTTTCTTGGTTCACAGCTGTATTGTTAAACATCTGAGAGTCATAAATAATATTTCTTCTCCTTTCCTAAAGCACAATAGCTTATGTACCTAGAATCACGTCCATTATTATTTGGACAATGACACATTTTGTAATTTCACATCTATACACCACAGCTGAAGTGCAGACTTTCAGCTTTCATTCAAGGGATTTAAGAAAAGTATTAACAGTTTAAGATATACATCCCTTTGTATTCATAGCCCCCATTTTCAGTGGGTCAAAATTAATTGGAAAATTGACTCACAAGCTGTTTCATGGTCAGGTGACCCAAGATTATCCCATCCTCTGAGTAATATTTGATTATTTCATAAAATAATAAAAATAATCTCTGCACGATCACTTTTCTTCTCCAAAAGGAAGAAAAGTTTTTTTCTTTTTGGAGAAGAACCGTTTTTGCTCACACAAACTAATTTGAATAAGACAGCTTCATAATTTATCTTTAATTCTATTATCTTTTCATGTATTTGTCATTTATGTTAAGCACTTTGAGTTTACATGTAAATGAAATGAGCATCGTCTTCATTTGTTAGGTGACGGTGCAAGCCACCTGCATCACCCTGACTGCCATGAGTGGAGACCGCTGTTACGTGACAGTCTACCCCCTGAAATCTCTTCGGCACCGAACCCCCAAAGTAGCCATGATTGTCAGCATTTGCATTTGGATCGGTACGTCATTATTGACTGACTCGTTAAAAATAGTTGCGTATGTGTATAAAATTTAAAATGCCATCATTTCACCTAACCATGTTTCTCCTCTTCAGGTTCTTTCATCCTCTCTACACCAATTTTAATGTACCAGCGTATAGAGGAGGGCTACTGGTACGGCCCGAGGCAATACTGCATGGAGAGATTTCCCTCTAAGACGCATGAGAGGGCTTTCATCCTGTACCAGTTCATTGCTGCCTACCTGCTGCCTGTGCTCACTATCTCTTTCTGCTACACTCTGATGGTTAAGAGGGTTGGCCAGCCCACTGTAGAACCTGTAGACAATAATTACCAGGTAAGGGCAGGTGTTATATCGGCCTGGGCTTCACAAGTGCCTCACAAACACAGCCACTAATGCACAGAGATATTATTGTCACCAGCTGCTGCTAATTTTCAGCCAATTAAAAGTTTAAAATCTCTCTTCTCTTCTCTTCTCCTCTCTTCTCTTCATGTCCCCGTCTTTGAAAATGTGTTTTAAAACTTCTTTAAAGTGGCTGCAGTCAACTCTTTATTTTATAATTTTCTTCATTTTATAATTTTTTATTGTGGCTTTCTTTTTCAATGTGGAACCTATTCATAAAAAAGAGCAACTGCATTATACCTGCCAACTTCTGCACACGAGTTTTACAGGAAGACAAATTATTGCCTTTGTGTCAACACAAAGAGATCTTACACTTCACTACATTTTGGGAACATGAGCAGGTAGACCTGCTGTGGACAGAGTGGGAGTAATGTTCATCACTACAGGTGCTATATTGAAAGTGCGACAGGATAAAGTAGAAAACAATTATGGGCAATTATGTTGCCAAACATTCCCACTCAGTGTGGTAGTGATTTTTTTTAAGCACTAATGCCCTGAGCAATAATTTATACCAATATAGGAAAGAGAGTGAAACAAATATCCTCTAATATCAATGGATAAATAGGTTGCAATGCATTGACAACCTCAAGGGGAAATAAAGTCTTTAATACAGTCACACTAGGAAAAGTAGTGGTTGGTGACCCAGCACGACAAAGGTCTGCAACCACTCTTAGTCAGTTGCTGTCTCTAAAGCAACTTTGGTGCATGAATACATGAAATAAAACCACAACAAGATAGAACTGACTTACTAAGACACTGAAAGGGGTCAAGCTGGCAATTACATGCAATCTATCTGCGATAATACACCAATTAACTCTGTGAAATCTGTGAAAACCGCTAACCTGTGGAACTCTGTTGCAAATCTGATGCAGTCTATGTAGACAGAAAATCACAATAAAGAGAAAATCTCATTCACTGCTTATATTCAGTGTCCAGCCAGAATGTCACAGATTTGAAACAGAAATGAAGAAATGTCCACAGAAACATTGATGTAGTTGCTGCTGGTCAGTTTTGTCTTTAGAATGAATCGAATATAACCAGGATACAATAAACTGGCAACCGAATAAGTTGAGTCTCCAATTACAATGATTCAGTTTAATTTTAACTGATCCCCTATGAGCAAGTACTTGGCGACAGTGGGAATGACAAACTCCCTTTTAACAGGAACAAACCTCAGTGTAGTGGTTCCCCAGTACTTTGTGTGTTGCATGCTCAACCTCACTTACTCACCGAGTCACCAAGTGCAAAAAAGTGCAATCACCTGGAAACCACTGATGGTTCTTCTTGGTCCCGAGGACGTTACATTCTTATTTACTCGAATAAGAGATTCTGTAGCTACCCGAAGGAGCGTTTCTGTGTCCTTTAGTTCCTTCTTTTGATAACTTTCTGTTTTGATTGACTGTTATCACTCTGGTAACACTGTTACATATTCTAAATATTGTCAAAAACATTACAAAGAGGGTTCCTTGTTTTGTCTCTTCAGGTGAATCTCCTGTCTGAGAGAACAATCAGCATCCGAAGCAAAGTTTCCAAGATGGTGGTAGTGATTGTGCTTCTCTTTGCCATCTGCTGGGGGCCCATCCAGATCTTTGTCCTCTTCCAGTCTTTCTATCCTAACTACCAGCCTAACTACGCCACATACAAGATCAAGACGTGGGCCAACTGCATGTCCTACGCCAACTCCTCTGTCAACCCCATAGTTTATGGCTTTATGGGAGCTAGTTTCCAAAAGTCTTTCAGGAAAACTTTTCCCTTCCTGTTCAAGCACAAGGTCAGAGACAGCAGCATGGCTTCCAGGACTGCCAATGCTGAGATTAAGTTTGTTGCTGCGGAGGAAGGCAACAATAATAACGCGGTGAACTGATCCCGATCATTTAACATAAGAAGGATACAGCCAGTTTTCTAATGTGAACCATGAAAAAAATAACACTAATTGTGTGTAAACGTCCTCAAAGAGCAACTGATCTGAAAGAGACACTGTTTGGCAGCCGGGATGTATTTATATCAGTGAATATAACTAATGAAATGATGTGAGGAAACTCAGACACATAAAAAAGATGGGCACTAACAGTATTTGGCACAATATGTTACCTGTTCCAACTGCCAAGGCTGGCAATGCTGGCACATGTCTGCCAAACACCAGGTCTGAATAACACAAAGCTGAACACACCAGATGACAAAAGAGGAGAGTTTGGCCTGAAAGCTGCAGGCAGGACATTTAATCCCTGTTTGATCTGATGAGGTCTGCAGCTCTAGAATAAACTGGACCGAGGACAGATGATGATTATAGATATCATATGAAATGAAACAACACTGAATGTATATTTGAATTTAACACTCTTGACTAAATGGCAGTTGGCTTGTTTTATTTTTGTTTGTTTTTTTGCTAGTTTTTCTGTGGTTGACATTTACGTCTTCGTTGGAGAAAAAGAGAATAATTTAACACTTTGAGTATGCGTCACTCCGAAGAACAGCGAACACTGTGACACTGTGTAAATGTTTAAAAGGTGAGCGTTCTTATAATTTCTTTAAGCAATCTTCAGGAATACTTCTCCTGGCTTCTCAAAGGACATTCAAAGCTCTTCTTTGGATGTTCGCTGCCTTTTGTTCCATTTTCTGTCAAAATGATCTCGTGCTGTTTCAGTGGTGTTGATGTCCAGGCTCTGGGGAGGCCAATCCATGACTGATGGTATTTCATTGTGTGTTTTTCTATCGAGGTGTGCTTTGAATGCATTGGCAGTGTGTTTGGGATCATTGTCATGATGAAAAATGAAGCTGTTTTCAGTCAGATGTTACTTTATAGTGGATTAATATCTGATAATACTTTTCTTTGTTAATAATTCCATCAATTTTGAAAAGATCCCCGACACCCCTGACTGAAATGTAGCACCACACCAAGTCTCCACCATGTTTTACAGATGGTTGTAGACACACTTTGGTAATGGTTTCTTGAAAGCTTCCCTTCCACTCAGACCATTTCTAATGAGGCTTCAGTGAGCAGTAGATGGGTCAACTTAAGGGTCAGATGCATCTCTTTAAGGTCCTCTGTCAGGTCATTTCTTAGAACATGATAGGACTCTACTTTTTTTCAGGTCTGCAATTTTTTATTTTCTTCTCCACTAGCCCTAACTCACAGTTTTTAGAACACACCAAACACTATGCCAAGATATGGCAGGTTTTCAGCTAATAGTTCTTTGGAAATTGCCTCGTTGGTGCAAAAAAGACTATTTTATGCCTGTGAACCTGTGTTATCATTAGCATTCTTCATAGATTCAACTAAAGAAATGAGAACAATCTGTTTTTGCTACAGGTACTAGCAAAGTGCCTAAATATACACATTTTAAATGGATTCTTTACTAAAATATCTGTTATGTGTTAACACAATAGTGAGTTAGGTGGCTTTTTCATGCTTGAATCCTTGGGAGCAAAATATAAAGAAATGAGGGGCGACTCACAAATTTCACGTAGCGAGGTATACTTGTTATTACACATTTGACAACACTGTTTAAACAAACAGCCTTGAATGCCTCATACCGGTACACTGACCACTGTAACGCCAAATTTGTCAGCTTTCACCAGCTCTCTTATCAAACAGCCATGTTAAGGTTCTTATCAATCTCTAAGCAAGACAGCAAATATGCAAAACTCCTCAAATATCAAACTGTTTGTTTAAAAATTATGAGTTTATCTCACTTCTGTTCAGTTTTGTGAGTTTGTGAGTCATGTGGATCCAGATCCACATGACTCACACAAAGATTCATCAATTTTATATACTTCACTACAGGTTACTACATACGTCCATGGTATTATAAGTGAAAATAAAAGGGAATCAGATCGTTTCTTGAGGCAACAGAAGTTAAAGCTGTGCTTTTTTGTTCGTTTAAAAACAACTGAATCCAGCTGAATCGTTTCCGTTGCTGGCAGTATGATGAGTGGTGTGATGGCTAAACCGGGGGTTGTAGTCAGTGAAGTGTAGACAGTGTTTACTTTGCTTTTGTGTCCCATGCACAAACATTCGCACCTTACTTAATTGTGCATTCACAAACACTATAGAAACATGCACGCATGCACACAGGCAAATACAAGCACACATCCACATTTCGCCCACTGCATCTACTTTTTTCGTTAGTGGTATCAGTTGTTACATCTTCTCAGAAAAAAAAAAACACCCTTGCACGATCTTGTCAGACAGACGGCGGAGACGACCTGCTCCATTGTGAGAGTGCACTCTGAAGGAGAAGCTGATGACAGAGCAGCTGTCTGGCAATAGAAATGCAGCCTATCATAGTTAATAAATCTGTAAAGCTGTTAATTAGGGGGAAAAAAACATGCAGGAAGATTTTTCTAACATAGGTTGAACTACATGGCCACCTTAATGCAGCTATAGATAATGTAACCTTACATTATACTGGTCATTAGTAGATGCTAATTACATACTTGCAAGAATAGAGTAGAACACAGCAGAACATGCATCTTGCAGCCGTGTGTCAAAATGTTTGTACTCGTGCTAAAAAAAAAGCACTTTGAGTTTTGTTGAAACAATTTGAGCTGCACTGTTTTAGCAGCAAGTAATTAGTCCTCCATTTGCAATTCAAATTGTACAAAAAGCAGCCAACTAAAGAAAGTGTCACCCACTAATTAGAACAGAAAAAAAGGGTATGGCATGGAGTGCATTGTGAGGCCATTTATTTACGTGAGCACTGCTCTAAAACACATCTTAACATGTTCGAGTTCTGCCGAATGGCTGCATATTGCTCTTTAAAAATCCTCCACATGTATGTATAGCCATTAAGGCAAAAGTCATTAATAAAATTTTCATTACTTATACCACACCATCATTGTGCAGCCTTGACAGCTTCAAACATGCAGGCAGAGGCATGAAAGGTTTTCAGCGGGTCTTCACTGACAAGAAAAACAAGAAATCCTGCAGCACAGAGCCCGCAGAGCTCCAACGTCACGAAATCATCGTGAAATCTTGGATTATGTAGAGACAGAAGACACTGAGCCATCCTATATAAAAAGAAGCGTAAAGACCTGTATTTTAAACTTTTTCTGTTTATCTGAGGTTAACTGATGGAAAACTTTTCATGGTATTATTTTTTTAATTCTTTCCTTTGCACAGCAATGTTTTGCACACATTCTCATGACATTGACACTTTTTATGTCTGTCTGGTTTAAAAATATATTCTGCTTGGGTTCAGCTTGAACTGTCTTGTGAGATGAAATATGTTCAGCTTTAGATGTACATGTGAGCCGCTTTGTTTAAAGAAATGATTGTAGTGAAACAGACAAATGATTTCAGAATTTCTCAGGGTTTTGAAGAATCCTGCCTGCAGTGAGATTAATTCTAACTTTTGAACAGAGGTAGTAATGTAAATAAAACCTTGATTCTAATCATGTTGTTGGTGCCAGCCATGCATTGCTCTATACTGTAGAGATGTTGCTGTAATGTACCGCACAGCTTCTGGAAACATTGTTTTCTTTGGTCATTAAACAAATGAAGAACAGGTTATTGGCTTGTGTTGTGAGTAACTTAGCAAAATTAGTAAAAATGATTACCTGCAGGTAAGATTAGAGGACAAGCAAGAAAAAAAAAATGCTGAAAAGGTTTTGGTTTTGTTTTTTTGCCCCTTAAGTATTGAACACATATTAAATCTTTAACATACATACATATTTAACATTCTGGATATTGTAGTATTTTTCTGGTATTTTCATTTTATAAGATCACGTCTCCCTTTTAAAAAAGATTTGATCTTCCGGCATGGTTAGCCCAGGGCCGACTGAAACAATAACTTGGGAATTTGATATCATCCCAGGCCACTCAATTTTATAATCTAACCCTATGGCTTCTTTACAGTTATTAGCAGTGTTAGATTAAAAAGTTCTATCACATTGATTATTACCTTTCCTAAATGCAATGCAGTATGTTACGTATTTAATTATTATTTATTTGTTACATTATTGTTACATTACTTTCTTGTTACTCCATAAAATGGCCTGAAACATATTGTCACATAATTACCAGTTAAGAATATGAACCTGTGGATACAGTTCCACACAAATCCCTATCTTAGTGAGCGTCACATCACTGCTGGTGTTACCTGCTGAAGTTCATACTTTGGCTGCTGGGCTCGGGTCAGCTTTACATTAGCATGTAGGTATCTGTTAAGAGTGGAGGTTCTGTTAGCATTATAATGCAGTTGTTTCTGTCCTGGATGCAGTTTGCCGTCATGTTCTTGTCCTTTTGTGCAGTCAAAATAAAAATAATTTTAACACCGATCTGCCTGGCATTCAGATAACTGAAGAACCTTTGTAATGACATAACTGTAACTGCAACTGAATTTAGTACAGTAACGCGTTACATTACTGTGTTACTGATAAATGTCATATGATTACAGTAAAGCATTTCTTTGTCACCCGACAAACTCAACACTGGTTTTCGGAGATTCACTACAGAATCATCTTAACCTAAAGAATTCCTTTTCATAATATTAATGCTATATCAGTTGATCAGTAATGCTTAGTGAAATTCATGTTTCAATAGCAAATGAACATATAGGTTTACAGGGGTGAAGAGAGTCTATAACCATGAATGTATAACAGCTGTACAACAAATTAACTAGCTAGTAGCTAAGGTGTTCTTGACTGACCTGGTCTCTGACTGGTGCATTTCTCCTCCAAATGTACTTTTTCTTGTTTTATGGATCATCTATCTATATAGTGGGTGCATGTTGACTGTCTTTCCCAGAGAGAGTAACAGAGAAAGAGGCTGCGAAGAGGCTGTGTTTGCTCACACAGAAGAGCAAACAGTCTCCACACATCCGTCACCCCTGAGAGGTCTGTCAACTCAATACTGCTTGCTACAATGTCACTGAACAAGCTGACAGTTCACAGCAGGGCTAAAATAACTATCAGGCCACCAGTGCTCCTGATGTGCAGTCTACCACTAACTGTAAATAAATAATCAGGCCTAAAGTTGTTTTGTCCTGAAAATAGACTGGCAGATTCTTAAAACCACCACATTGAATCCTCTCAGAAATATCTCAGTTACCCCTGGATGGATTGCCATAAAATTTGGTACAGGTATTTCTGCTTCCTATAAATAACCTCGATAGACCTTAAGGACCCAAAAATGTGATGATGAATCACTGCTGCTGTGGTGAGAGAAGGCCTCCAAATTTGCTCATCACCTGACCATTAACTGTTGACCGCAGGATGGTCTGAAGAATATAATAAAGAAAATCGTTATCTTCAAATGTCAGAGATTGAAATGTCACAGGAGCGGTAGCGTCTGGTTAGTTTATAGCTTTCCAGTACAGACAACAGAGGTCAGTCCTAATGGAAAAGTTCACAGAAGAACAGTTTATTGTTGCTTTTTAGATTCAACAAAAATGTAAGAACAGCCACTAACAGATCTGCCTTCTGTGTATCAGTGCAGCTGGTCATGATGACCTTGGTCCTTTTGGCAATAGGTTAACTGACAGGTGTATACCAACTCAAAATTTTAAGGAATGGGAAATAAAGTGGGAGGCAAAAACCCTTAAATATTTAGGTATAAATATAACCAAAAACTATGCCAAACTATATCAAAGTAACTATGGACATATAAATAACAGGATAAGGCAGGATATGGAAAGGTGGAATACATATCTGTTAGGATTTAGTGACAGGATAAATGTGATAAAGATGAATATCTTACCACGATTGCTATATTTATTCCTCTCTCTTC